AACATGGGTCAGAATTAGCTGGGTAAATGGAGAGGAATATAAATTTGTCTTTTTAACCAATAAGCTCTTTGTTTTCACATTAATTCCTTTGTGCCTCTATGGGTTTCACGTAACCCATCTCTGAAATGACAAAACTGTGTTTAAAAAAGAATCCAGACTACCTGGACATACTTTTCCCCAAACCCTCTTTAATTTTTCCAAGATATATGCTGTGAGCAACATTCCAAATGTGTCTTTAATGCCATGGCAATAATATTCCATCTATGTGGTTCTTTTGTTCATTTATGCCTTTGCTTGCTACCTCATAAACAAGAGGCTACCAATACATCTGTGAAAGCTCAGCAAAGATCAAATTTTATGATCACCAAAGGATTTCCATTACTTGAAAATTGCAATCAGTCTGCCTATGAAAGCAGATTCATGTTCAGACAGACGGAAAGCACAGGACAGAGCCACACTGGCTCTGTATGAAGCCTCATCTACCAGCTGTGACCTCAGCCAAGTAACCCTGTAGCTCAGTTTCTTCAGACGGAAAATGGGAAAATAATAGCATTTTATACGTTATTTTGAGGATTAAGTGAGTTAATATTGTAAAGAGCCTTATGTAATTGCTAAATCAATGTTTGCTTTTTTATTATTAGTAGTATTACTATTTTTTTATATATTAGGTTTAAACCAATGTACAGATTCACTGTTATTCTCCAGAACAGACATTTATAAATATCATCAAAATATTACTTTTGTTGCTATTATAAAACTTTTCAGTTGTACACTGTGCTCAGAAATATTCAAAGGGAAACAGCAGGAACCCGAACCAGGTGGAGGATGAGGAGGGAGTCTGCATCTCAGGGTCAGCTGCACAATAAGCACATCGGTGAGCTGAGGTGCACTGATTTGGGAGGTCTCCATGCAGCCTTTCAAACGGGAGCTCAGAGCTCCGTCCTCTGTGTAAAGCCACTGCCTTAAACGTATGCATGGATAGCAAATCCTCACATCAAGCTCTTTATACCCGTTTCTCTTCTTAGCTCCTGTTTCTTTGCTGCTATTCAGAGCTTTCTCTTTTAAACAGAAAAGGTTTTTGTTTATCCTGACAAGTACTGATTCAAGAACATAGCCAACTTTGGAGTTTGCTTCCAGAAAGATGACTTTTTTTTCTGTCCCAGAGTACAGGTTGCCAACTGGCAGCATATGGGATGAACGTGGCCAGCCGAGGTGGTTGATTTAGCCACACCATCTGTCATAAACATTAAATTATCATGTTATGTAGCATACACCTGTCTGAGCTGCCCTTGTCCGCACCTCTCCCTATGTTATTGTTCCCACTCACTGACTCAACTACTCAATTGTCTGGCCCTCTAGGCATGTGAGTTTGCCACAGTTTTAGACTTTGGAAATAGGCCCTTCAAGCAAAGAACTCTTGTCATGAGTCTCTAGTTTCTTGTCACAATAGTTCCCATAGCCGTGTGCTCTGTTGCAGTAATTTTTGCCACGTGAGGATTTTCATTTCTTCTAGGCCTGACCCTTGAAAGGCCTTCTCTTCTCCATCTGTGAAAATGGGAAGGACTTCCAAGATGGCAGCCATCCAATAGAAAGAGGTCAAGAGTCAGCCACTGCTTAGAGGACAAGCACCTGAGAGAAGTGCCCAACAAGGAGCCTCCACGTGCAGGTGCAATCCCGGAGGCCTGGGGGTTTGCACAGCAGTGTGCCTGGCTGAGTGCACGCCCAACAGGAAGGGATGGAGAAGAGGGCCCGCTACACCAAGGCGTCACAAATACACCCCAGAGGCCAGGGCCAAACACCTGAACTGAAGAAACGCTTCACACAACTGTAATCAAACAGCCATAAATAAAAAGAAACTTCTTGCCACAAATAATTATTTCAGCAGGCTGTGGACAGCTTCAGAGC